GGGGGAAGGGAGGCAGCGGTCAGGGTAAGATAGGACAACAATAATAATTTATAGTTTATCAAGGGGTCACGGGGAGGCGGGGTGGGGTGGGGTGAGGGAGGCAAAAAGAGGCGCTGATCCCAAGGGCTCAGTAGAAAGTAAACGTCTAGGAAAGAATGATGGCAACATCGGTACAAATATGCCTGATACAATCGATGTATGGATTGTGATAAGAGTTGTAAGAGCCTCAGTAAAATGATCTTTTAATGAAAAAACACAAACCACAAGGGCAGTAGAGGAGAGGCATGACCCGAGGCACAGGCCGGCTTCGGAGAGGAATTGCACGTCCGTTATTAGCCCCGGAGGCCGGTGAGCTGCAGGTCTGCTGTGGACCAGGTGTGCTGGGTCCTGGGGCTGGAGGGGGCGGGGCTCTGGGCCGTGCAGCTCCGGAGGGGGGGAGGGGCGGGAGGGAAGCAGGTGGAGGTGGGAGCGGCGCCCGGCCCAGCAGGCAGCTCCCCGGACGGCGGGGCAGCGGCGTTGCCCAGAACGGCCAGCAGAGCGCGCTCCTGCCCCAGGGTTGAGCCAGCTGGCCGCGCGCAGCGGGCGGGATTTCCCAGGCTGGTTCTTGGAAAGCGCCTTGGCCCTGGAGTTGCGGACGGAAGCGTCCGGCTTCCCCATTGGGGAAAGAAGAGACCAGAGCACGGAGCGGGAGCTCCGAGGTGCCCTTTCCTCTCCCCGTGCCCGCATCCCTGGGCCAGGCGGTGTCTGCTCCATGCGCATCCTCGCGTGGGCGGAGCCTTGGTGGCGCAGTGGTTAGGCGGTGAGCTGTGATCGCAAGGTCAGTAGTTCGTGAACCACCACCTGCTCCGCAGGGAGGAAGGCCGGGCTTTCCACGTCCATCAGCAGGTCTAGTTCTACCCTGTTTGATATCGTTAGGGACGCTGTGTTTTTGTCTACAGTTGTGCACTGGAACACGCCTCACCTGCCCCGGAGGTCTTCCTCTGTGCCATTGGGGTCTGTTCGGGTCACCGACCTTTGGAGCATGTTCCCCAGTGTTCTAGCGCCAGGCCTCTTCCTCTGCGCCCCCTCCCTGACCTCACGGGCTCCGTTTCCCTCACCTTGCCGCCAGGTGGAGCCCGCCCTGTCTCGCCTCCAGGTGAGCTCTCAGTGACAGGCGTCTCATCTTCAGCCGCCCCGTTATGACAGGCTTCTGTGGTGGCTGCTTGGTGAACACTGTCAGGGCTGGCTCATTCAGGTCGTGGGGTGCAGAGTATCGACTGTTTGGGGAGAGGGTTACGGAGGAGAATGTCCTCCCTGAAAATCTCCTCTCTACCTCCTGACGAGCCCACCTGGGCGGAGGCACCTCAATCATCACTCATTTGTTTATTCGCTCAAGCAGTATTTGCCACGTCCATTTCTGGGGATGGGGGGTGGGGCGGGGGTGGGCGGGCAAGGGCATGGTCAGGGCTCCCTTTCTGGAGGAGGAGTCGGGCACACAGGCTGTGACAATGGTACAGGGTGGCCAGGGTGGAGAGAGGGGACTTCCTCTGGACACTGCTCTCCTTCTGGCTTCTCCAGCCCAGCTAGAGAGGCGCCACCCCCACTCACCTGGTCCACCTGTGCCATGCAGGCTCACCCAGGCAACCCCCCCCTCTCAGGCAGACTCCCTGCCGGTTGACCAGCCCCCATGGTACATCCTCACGCTCACCAGCTCTCGGCCGGGCCTTCCCCCCAGCCCCATCCCCGGGCCAGCTCTGGCTTGCCATCCAGCCTTGTGGGGTGCCCAGAGTGGACTTCCTAAAATATTCCCAACCCTCTCCTCAGACTGCGGGATTCCCAGGAAGACAAAAGGAACAGGAGCCAATCTGACCTCAACAAAATCCATCTCTGTGGGAAAAGACGCAGGAAACCCCGTTAGAAGACCAGTGGCCAGGCTGGGAGGACACGGGGACCAGGCACTTGTGAAGTCCAGCCCTGCTCCCCTTCACAGGGAATGCTCCCGGCAGCCAGTCAGGAAAGGACCCCTAGAAAAAGCCGGGTGCAGACAGAAACACAGAAGAAAGAAATATCGGCCCCCAAATACCGCCAAGAGGTTGAGTCCCGCTCATGGTGAAATCATGGGAGAAACACAGCAGCACCGAAGGCCGTTCGCCACAGCCAGAAAGATGAGCCTGCAAACCAACAGCCCGATCTCGCTGGTGCCCATGCTGGGACGAACCAGGGGAGAGCGTCCCCTCCGGGGTTGGTGGGAGAGAAAATGGGGACAATTCTCCCAGCAAGAGAAATCCCATTGCCCTTTGGCCCAGCTTCAACCACGGTCAATGCTGCCATTCTTATTTCTCCTCGTGGGGTGGTGGCTAGTGCATTTTATTGGTCTATTTTCAAGTGACCCCTAGAGGTCAAAGAACAGCTTGGCCATAGCTAAATCCAAACGTGAACTTAACCTTTAATCTAATAATCCTACTCCTAAAGGCCCCCATGTGCCATATTCACAAACGTTTACCACGCGCGGTGTCGGGGGAGCTTGATCCCCGTCTTCATCGCTGGTCACGTGTGGAGAAACCAAACCAGACAAGATCAGAGAGACCGGGAATCCAGGGAGACTTGGTGGGGATGGAGAAATTGGTGACAGGTTACCGCTGCAGTGGTGACGATAGAAGGACGTGGAAGACGTGGCTCGTAGATGCCCTTTTGTAGAATTAAAACATCCCATAGAAATGGACACTAAAACCAAGAGTATCCAGAGCCCGGCGCTTGGGTGATGTTCCGCTGCGGTGGGATAAACCCAGACTCCCTGGACTGCCTGCCATGGTGACCTCCTCCCTTGCCAACCTCCTTCTCCCCCAGCCCCCACCCCCCGCCTCCCCCCGGCTTACAGGGCCTAGGGATTGGCCCACAGTTTCCCAAAGTGAGTTCCTAAGAACCCTAGCTCAACCAGCTTCTCCCAGAACCACTGTTCCTTGGGAAGTGCCGGGCCCTGGACCCCTGGGTGAGCCTGCACGTGCACGCAGAGGCGCGGGGAAGCCTGCAGTAACACAGGCGAACCGCTGTCTGACCAGGTGGCGCCTCTGGGTCTACGAGGACCACAGCAGGCTTCTCAGCTCTTGCTAGCAGGCCTGGTGTCCCAGGGCTGAGGGCCACTGCTCTGTAAGGCCCCCTAGTCCCCTTTTGGACGCCGCCTAGTCCCAATCTCTTCCAAGCTCATTCTATCCCAATCATACTGGCCCGCCCTGTCTCTAGCTAGTCCCTCACTTTGGAATACAGTGAACCCTCGTTTATCGCGGTTAA